AAAACAACCCTTCGTCCCTGTTGTTTTCCACTTCGGAGGGAGGAATTATGTGATAGAATATGCTGATGAAATGCTAGCTTCAGTATTCCCAGTATCTGCGACGCGACGCTTGCATGAAAACTTTATATATATGACAACTTTGTACTTTGCGTTCAGTTCTCCTTGTAACGGGTCAAATAAAACCTCGTAGTTCTGTTTGTAAAACAAAAAAAGTGTTTTTTTAAAACGAGATACTTCGTTCGAAAACCTTAACTAACAGCACCGACATCCGCACGCGTCGTGGCTTTGCTCTGTTTTTTATATGCGAATATTATAAAATATTATCTTTTTAGGCGATTTTCGACATATTCTCTATAAATATTTGCATCGGGATCTAATTTAATTTTTTTCCATTTTTTTTTTAATTAAAAAAAACCCTCTTCAACTTCCTTCTCTAAAATACTTAATTATACACCGATCGAGCTGACTCACAGTGTATCTTAAAGACGTCAGTTCTGTTACCTACGGCTGCGAGTCACTTCGGTTATTTCCGGTGTATTACTCACAGGTTTGTCAGTTATCGCATGTTTTCAGATCTATTAGCCAGTGCTTTGGTTTGTCAATTCTGACGGTCAAGGTACGCATACAGTATGCAACATGTTGTAAACTTGTCCAGTCACTCATTTATTAAGCACTCGTACCCGTTCGTGCCAAATAAACTAATATGGCGTTTATTAAACTTGTTGAGTAATATACAATTAAAGTTTTCTGAAGATTTTTTTTAAAGGAACCTTTTACAGGCTAATTCTTCCCGCGTCGGTGGTTGATCAATCGAACTTGCTGATGTTTTGCGAATCGTCTTGGAGAACTCACAAATGTGTCTGTTCATAAATTTGACCGTTACAACAAAAAATTATGTTCCAGACAAGCATTTTTCAATTCGGTTGGGAAGGTTTAATTCCAGATTCCCGGATTGCAATATATCTGAAAGAGTTATGTCAAAACTAACCTGAGAAACCAAACGAAAAATATACGACCACGACAAATAAACTCATAAGCCATAAGCAGTTGCCGAAAACACATTAAAAATTAATCAATAAATTCATCAGTCAATGAATGCAATAAATTCTTCTACCAAGGAAAAATCCGAGAATCCATAGAAATATCTAAACAACGAAACAATCTTAACCGCGACTCTGTCTTTCACCAATACGGAAATCTGAGACAACGTTTATGTCAAGTTATGTCAGTTCGGCCTCTCTCAAACAGTATATAGGTGGGTACAGAATAGAATGCGAGCGAGTTTCACTTAAGCTCTGAAGAAGCCATCAGGATGATTTGCGAAACGTCATCTAGTTTTCTTTATAAACAACCGATGCAGGAGGGATCTAGAAGATTTGTAAATAGCTTTGTGAAGAAAATGTTAATTTTAACAAGTAACGAATGCCACTCTCATCGCAGTTGTTTGTGTTCTTTATAATTTTATAAAAATTTGGAACAACACAATTAAAACATTAACTTCTAAGTATTCTTTCTACATATTCCAAATAACATTAAATACACAGTAGTATGATGGCTCAGTTGGCCCCGTAAAATAAAATAATTGAAAATGATATTAATTTCTAAATCAACAGTTTTTATTAATTTGGTACAATAATTTATAGATCTGCGATTAAGTCAACCGTCAAGAACTTAATTAGAAAATATTAAAAAAAATTAAATATCAATATTTATTTTCAATTATTAAGGTGTAAAAAGTGGTTTAAATTTTCATTTAAAAAATATTGGTTATTGAGGCATCCTTGAAATTAACACTTTTTATGCACGATTAGGTCCAACCAGAGCCTGACTAACGTAACATTTCTGGCAAACATATTGCCTTAAAATCAATCAAAGAATTACTTTCCGAAACAAAGTATTTTTCAAAATATTGCGAAAATATAAATCACCTTATAAATGCTTAAAAGTGCTAAAAAACAGAAGCATGTTCTGAAGACCATACCTGTTTATATGTACTTTGATACACAATCAATCGGGCAACGTTGTTCGGACGCCCAGAGATCTGCCCAATAAAGTCACCTCTATAAATGACGCCGACATATCAGTATTAGAAATCGTGAAATGAACTTTGTAACAGCATATAATAGAAGTTTCAAAATTCTTTTCAGAATTTGCTTTATGTAAATGCCAATTACAAAATTCTATTAGACGCTGTGTATAAGTTTTGAAGCAGATGAGATTCATATGCCTTGTATTTGTGGTTTTAAGATCGTTTGAACCGGAGATTTAATAATTCCGACAGTCTTCTACTTTCCTGCAAGAACTACTTGAATTTATTCGGATACATTAATTTCATCAATCTCCTTGTTTGTTTTGTTGTAAATATTGGGCCGAGGTTTACAAAATCATCTTGGTGATTTAAATTTTAATCTTAAAAAAATCTTTTATTTGGCTGTATTCTTTTTGCACATCTATAGGCAAAAATACAATAATGAAAACATGTTAAAATGGACTTGTAAAACTTCATCCGCATTTTCGTTGCACAGAGTATTAGAAACTGCTATTGTATTATTTATCAAAAAACAAACACAGTATTTTAACAGAAACTCCAAAATTTCTGAATATTACAGATCAATGTTACTTTGTTTTTAAAATAAACTCTCATGGTCAACTAACAAAAACGAATATTTTTTTCCAAAATTTAAATATGGGGCTTAATATGAAAAACAACCATCAGAGTTTTAGATATTTTTGAGACGATTTTATCAAACCCAGACGTATTAACCGGAAATATACAGCCTGACCCATTAAAAAAAAAAGCTATACTATAGAATAACCGATACGCGAGGAGTGTTCCAAAATGCAAAGTAACCAACAACATCTCGTATCTCAAAAATCAAAAAAATTACCTCAAGGGTTGAATTTGGGTCCTTTACTTTTTTCGATTTTCACAAACGATTTTTTCCAAACGGTCTATTGTGTTAGAAACTGGCGAGCTCTGTTGAAGAGTGTTGTTACTCCAACTATTGGCATGGAGTCTCTCAAGGCTGACCACGCTGTATAACTCGTCAATAATTCTATACTGTACAGAATCCCTTTTTTAATTCCACGTCATAATTCACGCAGTGCTATCTTTTTCCATAATTTTAAGGGTAGGACCAATATGATGACCAGATCACCAATTTATCAAATGTATCATCCGTATTCCTGACTTGTGTGATATCATCTTTAACGCACTGTACCTTGTTGTTTCTAAATGAAAATACGATCTTACGGATAATGAATCAATTTTTCCCATTTTAAAAGTGTTTTTGTTATTATTTTGTTTTTGTATTTTCTGTGATGCATGTTGAACACAAAGCAGTATTATTATTGTTATCATTATCATATAACTTTGTACAACCCAAAACTGAAATTTCTTTTTAACCATGAATTTTGGTATCAATATTCTATACCGAATAGGGTAAATAACCCAATATACAGAGAAACATTGAAATACAGACATCTAATAGTTCATTTTTCAAAGAAACTTCCACAAGCTACTGTAATACTATTTATAAATCTTCTGAATTCCTCGTCCGTGGGTGGTTGATCAATCTAACTTGATAACGTTTCTCCAATCGCTACCTGCTTATATATTGCTTGTAGGGGGCGGAGCTAAAGAAAGATGACCGACTCCCATATTGGTGAAAAGTAAAGACCTGAGCCGCGGTTAACATTGTTTGGTTGCTTTCGTAGAAGAATTGATTACATGCAAGAATTTTTTTTAGTTTTAACGAATAAAATTGGATGTCCGGTTTCGTGATTGTGTTCGGCAACTTTTGATGAGTATATTTGTTATGTTCTTTGGCCCTAGCTGATAATTTTCGTCCGGTCTCTCCAATGTATTCTTTGCCGCATATGTACGGAATGCTGCAAACTCTTGGTGTCTCAAACGGAATTTTGTCTTTGACGGATCGAAAATGTTGAGAGATTTTTGGACAAGTAGTAAATCTGGCTTTGACGTAATATTTCTTAAGAATTTTAGATATGTGGTCGGTGATATTTGGAATATAAGGAAGGGCAATAGTGGCAAGTGTGGAGTTGCGTTGTCTTTGGAAGGTTGTGGTGAAGTGTATTTTGTGATGAAAAGCTAAATATCTCTAATGTTTTATAGTAGTTTTATGGCCCTGTAAACAACTTTAAGGTATTAAATTATCGGTCTATCGGTCTGTATGCGTAGGTTTTCTGCCAATGGAGTGTTTGATGTCTGATGACATTATTTATGGTCCATGCTTAGATAAAATTGGTAAAAATATAATTGAGAGAGTACAAAAAAGCTGTCTACGGTTTATTTATGGTATAAGGAAATGTGCTCCAGTCTCGTACAAAGTACAGGACGTCAAATAAATGAATATGCACAACAGGCTTAGACTACACTCCTTGGTATTTTTCCATGATATTATTTTTAATAACAGTCAACATTACTTGACAAATAAAATAACACATAGGACAGATGTTCACAGTTTAAACCTTATATTTAATCGTCTTATATCTCCACCACCGTACAGGACGCCTCTCTTTCAGAGAGGTCCTGTTACCATTAATTATTAAAAGGAAATCAAAGCAAGAATTGTTTATCCGAAAAACGCAATGCAGGTAGTTTTCGAGTTGAGTTTCGAGATTGTCTAGCGTATTTTTAATTTTTTTTCTTTTTTGAATATTATTTACCTTAATATTTTATTATAATTGTGTGTTACTCAAGCGAATTAATAGTTCGAAGTAGTTGCTATGTATCATTTTATAGGGGCTGAAATTTGACCAATTTTTAATTGCTTTCATCTTCTTTTCTGCAATTTCGTATTGTATTGTATATTGAGTACATCAGAAAAAATGTATTATTATTATTAGTATTATTACATTATTAGTTTAAGCTCTGAAAAATCCAACGTCAGCAAGTTGGATACATCAACACCCGATGCAGGAGGAATCCAGATTTGTAAATAGTATCTAATAAGGGATGGGATTTTACATTTCCCTACCTCCAAAACAAGCTCCAAAGGACAACGCCCAAATCAAAGGTTGCAGAGGTAAATTGAGATCACGTCGGTTCGACAATTCCGTAGCTATTTTGATCATCATAGTCGTCAGTGGTAGGTTGTCGACGAAAGCTGATGCAATTCCAGATACCCATAAAATCAAGACGATGGCGACCGTCAATCTGGCGTCTGGATTCACTGATGTTATTAGGATTTGGGTCTGCTTTCCGACGAAATCAATCAGACCTAGTTTCGTTAAAGCCTGGAAACAAATACTGTGTGCCATAGAAATTGCAATTGCTAGCCTGCATGAAGCGTATCGGCTATCTTTTAAAGTCAGAGAGCGATAAATCATCGAAAACAATTGCCACCATAGGCGTGCAAGCTAATTGTGTATTATATGTAATATATGCGCAAACATATATAAAAGTAAGGATAATATGAAAATAGATAAATTTCTTGAGCTCCGAGAAAAAGAAAGGGTCTCTACAGTGTTTTCTACCATGTTATCAGCTTTCCACATTTCTTCTTCTATTTTAATCACAACTTCGAGGGACTCACTCCTTTGCAACAGAGTTTCAACTTTCCTCATTTAAAAAACAAGTGTTATGGCTTGCTACAAACCCTTTTACTTGCACCTATACCAATTCTATAGAGTTTAATACACGGTGACATATCATACAAAGAGGTACATTCAAATTCAATTCCTTTTTGCAACATATCTTTCTGAAATTGCTCAAGTTCAAGGTAAGTGTTTTCATCCTCCTTATTAGAGTTTTTTTTCTTTCTGTACTTCTCTGGTGACGTGATGAGGCGATCTTCGTGCTGTCAAAATCGAGTCATTTTTGAATACATTTCAAACATTTTTCTTCTGAACGTTGAGTTTTGGTGGCGAAGAGCTTTGAACACATTCAGAATGTTGCATCTACTGCAGAGAAAATCTACAAACACCGACAGTCTCTCTAGGCCTACCAAAATTTGAGGGCGACAGGATTACGATAGATAAAGTATTAACACGGATAGGCTCCAAATGGAAACAACAAAAGGATAACAGAGAAGGGACTATTTGCAGAGTACAAAAGAAGCCAGCCACACAATTTTTTTAGATGAGACATGGATTAATGAAAAGCAGTATTTTAGATGAAATGAGACCATCATCATCAATCATCGTCGGCTCATTATAAATCACATTGGCAGCATAGATGATTTTGTAGCAGGTGGCTTTCTAATTTTTCATCAAACAAAACCGGGGATTACTAAGAAAATATGAATTCTGAAGTGTTGTTGTGAAGAAAAAATTTAAACAAAAGATCACCATATTATTCTAGACATGCAAAAAAAATACCTACCAGAATATAATCATGCAATGATTCCAGATCCTTAAAAAAAAGAACTGATTGTACTTGACAATTTATATAAACTTGTTGCGCAAGTGAAAAAACTGAACTGCCTGTGTTTTCGTTGTTCTATACATTTTATTTTTATGCGGAAAGCTCTATTTTTAATTAATTTCAACATAAAAATATTTTATATAATAACTTTTATAACACGTTAATGTAATTTTATAAACAATGTTAACGTAAAAATAAATGTTGTGAATGATATATATTTAAAATAATTTTACTATACCTACCACATTTTCCAGGAAGCAATGAAACATGTTAAAGTAGCCATAAAAGGGTTAAATTTTATTTGTTTAATAGAAATTATATTAGGGTGCTTCAAAAATGTTGTGGAGGGCCCGGGTTTTGCATAAATAATTGAGCTTCTATTCTCTCTCTTTAAAAGATAACATTTTGGGACAGTCTGTTTCTTTAAATTTCACAAAAAAAATAAACAGGTACATTTTCTATGAAATTACTTGGAACTTTTCATTGATCATTTGGATCATTGAAAATATCGTTTAGCAATGTTTCCTACGGAAAATATAAATTTGTAATTATTTATTTCCTTTAATTTTTTTTTTATTTTATTTATCTATTTTTGAATACATTACCCATTACCCATATTTGAAGCATAATTTTCTAGTAAAACAAGGTAAAGCAAAGCGACTTAATGTTAGTAAAATTAAAAATATAAAATAAATTAAATTTTTTCATTCTTCTTTTGGGAGTGACTTATTACTCTCTAAGTGTTTGTATGTATGTACGCAGTGTAGTGTTTTTTGCAATATATTGCAAAGTTTTGTAACATGTAACGTAATTCATTAAATTGTTTCACAATTCGTGCAGTTCTTGCAAATTTACAGGGGCACTTGTTATTACGCAAACTTATATTTATCACGTACTGCTTTAGTTAGTAGTAGCGACAGTTAGTAATCGGTATGTTCTTTTTTTATATTTGTCATTATATTCTAGGGTTTCCTTAATGCCAAGTTTAATATAAAAATTATCTACAAAAAGTAGATGCATAAGCTGGTAAGCACGATTTGTTTTTTAGTTCTTTTTTTTTGCTTCCTTTTTTAAAGTATTTTTATTCGTTGTGAAAGGGTGTAGCTACGAAACGACTCTCATGAAGAGCTTTGTAAGTTTCAAAAAACGTTCACTATTATCAAAATTAATTTTAACATGATACTACACAGATAATTTTAATATTAATCAGCATAATTCAACGTTTAGAAATGTTCTCCAAAAACACTTGCTACGATCTTAGTAATATTAAACTATTGCAATTCATGTGAACTTTTCTTTGCCATCAACCTCTTCCCTTTTCTATCCTTAAAAACCTAACAAGTTAATAAAAATTGTGCGTACCTACTTTTGGAGCAAAAAAAAAATTAAATATATTATTATATAAAATTTTCCGGTTTAAATTAACGCCTGAACAGTATTTAGACTTACTAGATGGCTTCCCTGGCAATGCCTAATACTAACCATTATTTCAAGCATCTTTATTTGCTTAGTTTAATAATATATAATGTTCATGGTTGTAACAATAAAAGTATTGTTATAATTATTATTATTATAGATTAGTGGTGATTAACTAACTTTATTTGCAATTTTATCTAAAAAGTCCTAAAAAATATGCAAATATTTAAATAATAATTAAAATAATTCAAAATAATTCTGAAAAAGATTAGTTTCTACATTCTTTTGTTTGAAGTCCATTGAAGCGATCAGCTATCTCTTACTGTTAAGAAATTCCTGTTGGTTCATTCTAAATCTGTGGCCACAACATTGCTTGTAAAGTTCAAATTTGCAGTTTCTCTTTTTAACGAATGAACTTAAAAGAAATGGGAAAAAGCACCATATTGCAAATTGGGATAACCAATGTGAACGTGTGTAATTTTGACTATTTCACGGTATTAATCTCATTACTCCACGTGTTTCCTACCTCTTATTAATCGGTTGCTGTAATTCAATTCTACTCTAAACTAAATTATTTCTACATAATAACGATGAGTTTGGTAAATATTGTCAAACCTCCATAAGGATGAACAAAGATGCGAAAAACAACAAAGTGGACCATTCCACTCTTGCCAGAATGCCCTCCATATCTTCATCGTGATAAAGAAGCAAAAGCAATATGCAACCCAGTAGCGAGGTCCATCCCATTCCCAGTCTGCCTGAAATACATGTTCTGTGAGATTTCTAGGCATCGTATTGGGTGGAACAAAAGTATTTTTCTCTTTATTTAAAGAAAATATGTTTGGATAGAGACAATTCCTTAGTACAAATACGAACCATTAACAACAAACTGTCCTAGAATCAATAGAGAAAAAGACATAAAACTTAACTTAAAGTCAAAGCCACTTTTGTGCCACCCAGTAGATATAATGAGTCCACACACACTTTTCCGTTATGTATCTACCAATCTCTTAGAAATGTATCGGGTGGACAGTTTATTATTATGGGATGACGCTCTCAGAACCTCCAAAAGTAACTAGGGGCCCTTGTATATTAACGCATTTTTTAATTCCCCTTACAGTTTGCAGGTGTAAATATTACTATGGATTTCTCCGTCTGAAAGCCTTGGTGATATATATGGGTTGATTTCCTTATAGAAAGGTAGCCTGTGTTAATATTTTTAAAATTAATAAATTCGCGGTGATCAAATAGTCACCTGAACAATTTAAATTTAAATAAAAAATTCGTTAAAACTGATAACTAACGATAAGGTTGCCTAGTTGGAAAGGTTATAAATTTCGAAATCTTAGCAACAAAACGCTTTTAATAAATTGTAAATTGTAAATTGCATACCCCTATTAATTGACTAAGAAGGTAACATAAATGAAAAAAAAAAAAACACTTTGGCACCACAGAAATTACACTTTTTATTAATTGTCGCATGACATTTTTTTATAAATCTTAACATTTTGGTTAATATCTAAAACATTTGCTGAAAAATATCCAAATTCATATTTTTCAGCAAATATCAAAATGGGTTTCAAAAAATGTTTCCCCTTTTTAGATATTACCCAAAATCATTTATAGAAAACTGTGAAGCGACACTAAAAAGTGTAATTTCTGTAGTGCTAAATTGTTGTTTTCCCAACATTTTTACCGTTCTTTTTATGTACCATAAAGTTACATTTCAGAAAATGACTTGACGATTTTGCCTTTTAATTTTTTATTGTTAATTTGTGATCACCCTGTATTTATTCATTTTTAATGTATTTAAACAGACCAATATACCGTTCTATAAGGTAAATCAACCTCAAATATGATTTGGTGATATTTTCGTATCAGTAAGTGCCGAAGATACCGATTTTGACTGGAATTTGATCGAAATTGCCAAGAAAAGGTAACTATTTGGAACAAAAACGGAAGTTTTAGGCTGATATCTGCAATTTTGATGCCATTTTAGTTAGAATATGTCTCAAGCCGACTTTGAATGGAATTTCTTTAAAGTCAAGAAGAATAACTACTATTGGACCAAGAACGAGGGTTTTTAAGTTGATAACTTCCATAAATTCTATAAACTAAAGTCAATATCGGCATCTTCGGTCTTTATTGTTACAACGTCAACAAACCAGCAGGTATCTACTTTCCTGGGTCAAATCAATATATGTATCCCTAGAACGATTTTGTTGAAATTTTGTTTTTTGTGACAAGAGGATCATTTAGGATTAATTAAATTATGAAATGCAGTGGCGTTCCTTAAGGCGCCTTATTGAATATTTTTGGCAATATTAGGCAACTAAAAATGCAACTCTTCGGTCTTTTAAATTGTTTTCGTATCTTGCTTCGTTTTCGAAAGAAAAAACAATTATTTATTTAGGTTAGTGATAAGTTAGCTTCTTATCACTGCAGGTAAAACAGACATATCATAAGGTAATGCATTTAAATTTGTTGATAATTGCATGCAATAAATCGTTTTTTTTAATATTAACGTTATTACTTAACAAAGAAAATTAAAACATCCTGTATATATAAGAATAAAATAGTTTACACGCACAAGTGAAGCCAAAGAATTTTTGTATTTAATTTTTTATGGTATTTTGTACAGGTTCTAAGATAAGGTGTCATCCCATAATCAAGTGACCATGCCATACATGGAAAACCAAATTATTGCTCCTAACGGTAGCATCGCATTTTGAATTTACAGGGTGACTCCAAGTAAGCAACCTACACTTATATGTTCAGGTTATCATTTCCTAGTTGGACATCTCCGTTAGCAACAATACGAAAATGAAGCTAATAGTGATATTTTTGATATCATCTGCTCTCCCGAGAGATTAGAAGATACTTTCCGGTCACCCTGTATTTAACCTTGACTTACTTAAAGCTGGTATACTGTGCAATAACAGAACTCCTATCACCAAAGATAACACCACCCCCGATTTAATTAATAGGGACTTATTTTTGATGCAATGCTAAAAAAAATATGCTATTACTTACTATATTACAAAAATGAATAATATACGCGGTGGGCCGTTTAAATAAAAAAAATACTTACACTTTTAAAATGCTGTTTATAGTTATAAATTACTAGACATATTTCATATATATCAACCTAGATATAGCTAGTCTTACCGGTTTTGACATATTTTGCATTTTATGTCAAAAGTGACGTTTGCAGGTCTAATCTACGGATTTACTTCAAATTATACAGGGTGATGTAAGACATTAAGTTTAAATAACATTCCCTGAATATTCATTCATTCATTCATTCTTTCATTAATTTTTAGATTCCATTAAAGAAATAAAGTAGATTTTGTTGAGGTTTCCCTATACTTATGCCATACTGTTATCGATAAAAAAAATATTTTTAAGCAATTTGGACCCTTGAAGAAATCTTAATAGTTGCGTGCTTTATTGAACACAAATGAAAACTTTTGCAGACAGTTAAAAGAAGGACTAATGCATTCATTCCTGGCATATCATTTAGAAGGAATGTACAAGGAGTTTTAAAAAGAAGATTTTCTACAGGAATTCTAGAAACATGAACATAATAAATCCCATTTTCATTTAATTTTAGTTTTTTCCAACTATATTGCCCTTTTTCGAAACTCAATTATTCATCAATCAGGTTAGAAGATTTCTTTCAGTCAAGCTTGAAAGCCTTCTTTGTGAAGGGTAACAATTTTAAAAGTCCTACTTTATTAGATTTAATTATATTATTATAACTAAACCGGATGCGAAATAGAAGGAAAGAAGCTAAAATTAAATGAAATTGAGATTTTGAGGAATTTATTTTCTCTATGGCGAAGCTTTCTTCGAAATGACCGCAAAACTCATGAAAATTTTTATTTCAAAGACAGTAAGAGAGAGAACAAAATTGAGTTAGTGTCTTTCCTAGAATCCGAAAATTAAAACAAAAAACAGGGTGTGTTATTAAAAAAAACGGTGTGTGTGTGTGTGTGTGTGTGTGTGTGTGTCTTAATATTTTGAAAATAAATAAATGTAAGGTGGCTAAAAACAAACATTAATAATTTCAATGAAAACATCTTTCAAAATCATGATTTTCAAATGGAAACACGCCATTTCAATAATTTTATCATGTTTAGCATTTAAAACGAGGTTGACTTTGTATTAAATAAAATTAGCTTTTTTTATTAACATAAACTTTTTCAAATTTATTTAATTTCTAAAAACGGAACAAATTTATTTATGAAAAATATTCAAAAGCCACAATAGAAACTTCAAAAAAATTTTTAACACCGTGTTAAAAAATTATTACATGATATAAAAAATACATATTTTTATACAAATAATCATTTTTATATATTTATTTCTGAATGTTGTAAATAATAAACTGTCTTTTTAATTTGTTTATTCCATATCAGTATTTTTCCCATTAATTATTTAGTTTTTAAAAACACGTTTTATGGAGTAGAGAACATTTTTTTATATAATAAATGAACCACAACAATAAAAAGTGACTAAGTTAGCAAGCCAAAATATTGGTGTTTCTCTAGTGCTTATACAAAGTTACTATTTTGTACAATGTAAAATACGATAAATTCATAAAAGGGGGGCATTCCATGACAAAAAAAGTTCTAACGATTTACTTTTCTTTTAAATTTATCTATTTTTAAAATATCAACACAAACAACCAATATATAAGAACAGTTTGCAGTTGGAGAAATCGATAGATATATATTTAGACCTGCAAAACGCCACTTTTAACATAAAATTCCATATTCAGTGTGTCCCACTTAAGAACTGTACATCCTTGTAAAATCCTTGTTTATGCTTCGATTTTGATTTTTTTTTTGTTGGATACGTCTCTGATAAATGCATTGTTTTGCCTTGTTTTGCCTATTGCTTCAACTTAAAGTCCTGGCCAACTGAGACTATTTAGCAAAAGATACTATTAGGTATTCAAAAAAAAAATGGTAACGAATTATCATTCAGGAGTACTTTGAACCCAAGTATACTAATTTTTATAATGTTTCAATACAGGGTGTTTGAAATATCGCTTGCGCCCCGCTTAAGACTGTACATCGTTGTAAAATCTTTGATTACGGTTTGATTTTGATAATTTTTTTTTGTTGGATAGATCTCTCAAAAATCCACTGAAACCTTATGTTTCTTATTACATCAACCTGAACTCATGAACTGGGACTAATTTTTGATGTCATGAGGGATTTCTTTAAGAATAAGGTATGAACGATACTAATTTCCATGAAGCTCGAATACAGGGTGCTCGAAATATTGCGGGCGCCTCGCTTAAGCATTACTCCTGTAACATGCTTGTTTGTGGTTCAATTTTGATCACTCTTTTTTGTTGGATATATTTCACTGATTAGAGAGGATTAGTTATGAACTAAACAGACTTTACAACGCTGTAAAAGGATTTTAATTGTCAACTAATAATTAAAATAACAGAAATATCAAAATTGACGTCAGCATACTGTTTCCTTTGTAAAACCAACTGCCATGGAAATGTGAATATTCGACAGTCAAATTCGCTCGCTAATATATATTTTAATTTTGTTTACATTATATCTTTAGAATACTAAGATTTGTTAATGCTGTTATTTTAAAACGATACTAAAAAAAGGTCCTTAAAAAGTCTTTTCTATCATTATTTTTTAAATATTTACTATTTATTTTTTTTAAACATTAAAAACTTTGATCATTGGTCTAGTTACTTTTAGGTAGTTCTAAACACGCGTCTGTTGTCATTTTCGATTTGTAAAAATCCCTAAAAGTATTTTTCGATTTTCCGCCTCAAGAAACTGTGTTGGTTAGTTTTAGGTAGTTAGACTTTAGTCTATGCTATACGAAAACACTGTTTCATTTCTATTTAGTGAGATCTATCCAGCAAAAAAAAATTATCAAAATTTACCCATAAACAAACATTCTAAAGCGAACTTCATGGAAATTAGTATCGTTAGGTTTTATGTAGTCTTGAATAAGAATTTGTTGACACTTGATTCTCGAAGAAATCCCTAAAAGCCCTTCTCGATATTTGACATAAAAATTAGTCCCCGTTGATGTAATAAGAAACATAAAGTTTTAGAGCGTTTTTGAGAGATTTATCCGACAAAAAAAAGTTAAAAATCTAACCGTATTCAAAGATTTTACAAAGCCTTAAGCGGGGCGTAAACGATATTTCAAATACCCTGTATTGAAACATTATAGAAATTAATATAGTTGGGTTCTAAGTGCAACTGAATAAGAATTCATAGTCAATTCATTTTTTTTAAATCCCTAATAGTACTTCTCTCTTCTCTCTTAAATAGTCTCAGTTGGCCATGAGGCAATAATCAAATGAGTCCGCCAGAGATGCATTTTGGTACCAATCTTGTTCAATATATACCTAGAAAAGATTTTTCAATTGGCTCGGCAAGGAGATAATAGAGGAATCAAAACTAATGGAACTCCAACTGACATTATTCGGTATTCAGACGATACAGCTTCTCGAAAAAATCTCGTGAGGACCTTCAACACACTCTGGACAGAATTAGCCAAATAGGTAAAGAGTTTGGGCTCGAAATTTACACATCCAAAACAAAAGTCATGGCAATAACTGCTGCGATGAAAAAGTAAGTATACGGAATGGGCAGGCGAATACATTTTTTAAAATAAATAACCTCCTTCCTGCACGTTCTCTACCACTGGCATTTCGTCTTCGAGTAATACAGTGCTACGTGTGGCTTATATTGCTACATGGAGCAGAGACATGGTCCCTAAAAATACGGACACTGAACCGCATAGAAACATTTGAAATGTGGACATTGCGTAGGCTCGTAAGTATTCCCTGGACCGCACACACACGCCAAGTTCTCAATCCCTAAACTAATTATACCACGATCGCCAACGTGGGTATATATATGCACAGGACACGAGAAGAAGAAGAAAAATAAGCAAAACAAGGTTTTAGTGCATTTTTCAGAGACCTATGCAACGAAAACAAAATTGTCAAAATCGAACCATAAACAAAGATTTCACAAGGGTGTACATAGTGGGACACACTGTATATATAAAACTTAGGTATAGGATATTACAGTCGGTAGGAATTGTGTTGGCATAGTCGGCTTTAAAATGAATAAAATAGACTGCTCATCTTGCTGCCACTTATACTTCAACAGCTGTTGTTCCGCCTTAAATGACTATCTGATCAATGCAAGACAGCCGTCAACATCCGATCACGATTATATTACGTGGGAGTAAGAGAGACAGACTTGGCATTTATTAGTTTAACTAGTACGCCCACAGAGATCCATTCATGTATTTTCTATGTAATAATAAATCAGAGTGTTCCTTAATGATATGCGAATATTTAAGTAGGTGAATCTAAGGGGTGTTTTTTTTTTCGATGCATAGAACTTTAAGTTGCAATAAAACAACGATGGATATTCGATTGACATGAATTTTATTTATCCGAAAGATAATCTTGGGTCATTACATTTTAAATATGATTTCTGGCATATGACCGCCACGGCTGGCGCGGATGTAGTCCAATCCGGACGTCCAATTTTCGATGACTTTTTCCAACATTTGTGGCCGTATATCGGCAATAACACGGCGAATGTTGTCTTCCAAATGGTCAAGCATTTGTGGCTTATCCGCATAGACCAATGACTTTACATAGCCCCACAGAAAGTAGTCTAGCGGTGTTAAATCACAAAATCTTGGAGGTCAATTCACAGGTCCAAAACGTGAAATTAGGCGGTCACCAAACATGTCTTTCAATAAATCGATTGTGGCACGAGCTGTGTGACATGTTGCGCAGTCTTGTTGAAACCACATCTCCTGGACATCATGGTTAATCATAGCTCTATACCGATCACCATTGACTGTAACGTTCTGGCCATCATCATTGTTGAAGAAGTACGGACCAATGACTCCACCAGCCCATAAAGCGCACCAAACAGTCAGTTTTTCTGGATGTAACGGTGTCTCGACATACACTTGAGGATTAGCTTCGCTCCAAATGCTGCAGTTTTGTTTGTTGACGTAGCCATTCAACTAGAAGTGCGCTTCATCGCTAAACAAAATTCGCTTATGAAAATCGGGAACAATGGCAATCTATATATATATATATATATATATATATATATATATATATATATATATATATATATATATATATATATATATATAGTAGCAGGTAGTTTGTAAATATTGTTGTCGAAAAAATTGTCACGTGATACATAATTTCGTGAAAATCTGAACTTTCAGTTCTTATTTATTTTGTTAAATGGATTTTCATCAAGTAAAAGCCACCTCAGTTCAATTGCTTTAATTTTTGTTTTATTGCATGGACAGAGTTTTGGTTAGTTTAGTTAGTTAGTTAGGACAATAACTTATTTGACAAATTATCATAATTTTAGCATGTAATAGGTGTTTTTTTTTTCGATGCATAGAACTTTAAGTTGGCCTTACTGTTCAAGATGGCCACCGATTTAATAGCCGTCAAGTGACTTATTCTCAGTTTGGTTTGGCAATTCATCATGAATAGACTCACGCCTCAACAAAGCTTGCAAATAGTGCAATTTTATTTCGAAAATAATATTTCTTTGCGGAATACGTATCGCGCACTACGTCCATTTTATCGTTGACAAACTCGTCCATCAGAGCAGTTAATTCGATTAACCATGGAACGTTTTCGCACCACATTTACTCTTATTGATAACTCGCATCCCCAGAGACACCGTACGATGCGTACAGAAGAAGCTATTGCTGTTGTAGAGCGTAGCATTGAGGAAGACCCGAATGAGTCCATCCGCCATCGAGCACAGAAATTGGATCTGTGTCCATCCACTTAATGGAAGATTTTGCGGAAGGATCTTGGTTTACGTGCTTACAAAATCCAACTCGTGCAAGAATTGAAGCCAAACGATCATCAAGTAAGGCGTAGATTCATCGAATGGGCCCAAAACGAGATTGCCATTGTTCCCGATTTTCATAAGCGAATTTTGTTTAGCGATGAAGCGCACTTCTAGTTGAATGGCTACGTCAACAAACAAAACTGCAGCATTTGGAGCGAAGCTAATCCTCAAGTGTATGTCGAGACACCGTTACATCCAGAAAAACTGACTGTTCGGTGCGCTTTATGGGCTGGTGGAATCATTGGTCCGTACTTCTTCAACAACGATGATGGCCAGAACGTTACAGTCAATGGTGATCGGTATAGAGCCTTGATTAACCATGATGTCCAGGAAATGTGGTTTCAACAAGACGGCGCAACATGTCACACAACTCGTGCCACAATCGATTTATTGAAAGACATGTTTGGTGACCGCCTAATTTCACGTTTTGGACCTGCGAATTGGCCTCCAAGATTTTGTGATTTAACACCGCTAGACTACTTTCTGTGAGGCTATGTAAAGTCATTGGTCTATGTGGATAAGCCACAAATGCTTGATCATTTGGAAGACAACATTCGCCGTGTTATTGCCGATATACGGCGACAAATTTTGTAAAAAGTCATCGAAAATTGTACTTCCGGATTGGACTACATCCGCGCCGGCCGTGGCGATCATATGCCAGAAATCATATTTAAAATGTAATGCCCCAAGATTATCTTTCGGATAAATAAAATTCATGTCAATCGAATAATTCATCGTTGTTTTATTGCAACTTAAAGTTCTATGCATCGAAAAAAAACACCCCTTAGATTCACCTACTTAAATATTCGCATATCATTAAGGAACACTCTGATTTATTATTACATAGAAAATGCATGAATGGATTTCTGTGGGCGTACCAGTTAAACTAATAAATGCCAAGTCTGTTTCTCTTACTTCCATGTAATATAATCGTGATCGGATGTTGACGGCTGTCTTGCATTGATCAGATAGTCATTTAAGGCGCAACAACAGCTGTTGAAGTATAAGTATATATATATATATATATATATATATATATATATATATATATATATATATATATATATATATATATTGTAAATTCTTCCGGGTTTTACTCCGCGTCTGGTCTGGCTGGCTCCAAGTGGAGGTAGTCCTCTGCTGACAACGTTTCACACCAACCGTTACCTGAACGCCAATTCACATCACCACCCGGCACAATTACAATCAGTGATCAAAACTTTGATCGCAAGATCAGAAGCACTGGCAGACGAGGACCACAAAGAGGAAGAAACAAAAGCTGTACAGGCGGCCTTGAGACAGAATGGCTTCTCCGAGTACAATATAAAGAAAGCTCTAAGACCACGGCCCACTAAAACTCAAGAAAAAGAAGAAGAAAACAAACCTATAGCCAATGCTCTCCTGCCTTATGTCAAAGGAACAACAGACAAAATAAGCAGAGTCCTTAAGAAAAACAAAATAGCAACCATCTTCAATTCAGACAAGATAATTGCCAATGTAATTCCATCAGCAAAAACAAAAATTCCACTCTAGGACCAAGGAGTGTATGAAATACCCTACAAGGACTGTGACAAGAGCTACATTGGCCAGACAAACAGGAGGATACAGGTACGAAGAGAGGAACACCGCAACGCTGGTCCAATACTGGACACACAATAGACTTTGACAACTCGAGGACAATTGCCAGAGAAGAACACAAATATAAAAGAATAGTCAGGGAAGCTATCGAAATAGAAAAACACCAAATTAACCTAAACACAAGAGACGATACGCAACGATTACCAACAGCTTGGAAACCGGTTATAAAACCAACAACAAGAAAGAGAGCAGCCCCAACTCCCGTTCCACCTCGTCGCCCAGACAACGATAACGCCCTACAAGGAGCCGTACGCGTGCGCAGCCAACCAGCACAAACCAGTCGGCATATAAAGCAGCGACAAGCCAGCCGAGCACCAGTTCAAGCCGAGTTCAGAAGAGAAGCAGAACCACCCGACTTGAAACTACTGTACCCGATAATTGGTGCTATCTCTGTCGAGTGTACGATACCAGGGTGTAATAGACAAAGGCAGAACATATATACGAAATACATCTGTGATTTTCAGAAAAAAAAATCAAAAAGTATTTAATCTACAGGGCGTTCTATTCAAAATAAGAAAGGTGTTACTTGCCCACGAACATACAAACAGCGTGTATATATAATAATATAATATTTTAAAAGTAAAAACGAATCCTCGAAACAGCTTGTGTCTCTAAGTTTTTTTTTCAAAATTTTCATCAGATGCTGAAAAATGGGGCTGCCATGTACCTGTCTTTCCAAAGTTTCCAAAGTAATTGCTTCCCGCTCCTCTCTGTTTACAGTCGGTTGTGTGTTCGTGTCTCTCAACATTCCTTGGAGCTTAACAGTTTTCCTGAGAAGATTTTCTTTGACCGCTTCCTCATCTTTGCTGTAACTGCTCACCGATGCTGCCGTCCGTTGCAAAACCGCTATGCCTCTTTTAAGATCTTACACCAAAAAACATTCAAAAGAATTCAAATCTTTCAAATAATCTATACGAGTCTATGCAACATAAACGTAGGCAGAGTCAAATATGATGATGCACTACATAAAAAATAAAATTGAGTTGGAATCAAGTGCACCGGATGTCCATTTTTCTGGGGCCTCTCAGTTATTATTATTTTATTATTATTATTATTATTATTAGTAAACCCTTTTGATTTTTGATATAGGGGATGTTGTTGGAAACTTGGCATTTTTGAACACCTCCCTTATCTTGGTTATTCTAAAGGTTATAAGAAAAATAAAAAGATCGTTTGTTCTTCGCTTTTTATGGAAAATTCAGTGCCATACTCAGATTTTTTTCTATATACAATTAATTTTGAGTAATATATAACATTTTTCATTTTCACGTTTGTTTTTCTCGTTAAATTGTACACTATAAAAACATGCGTAAGATAAATATGACAGAGGCATACGATCTTCACATAAAAAAAGGTCAACCTTATAATTTTAATGGTATTAAAAAGTTGTGAGATGTTAGCAATTTTAAGAGGCAGATAGATAGATAGATAGATTTATTTAGCCATTTTTTACATAAAAAGTCTTTACAACAGTAGTACAAAAGATTAACGCTGACAAATTGTGGTTCTGGATAAATAAATCGTATAAACAATAGAAAAAATCCATGTCTGGTGTTGTGTGCATGTCTGTCAGAATGTCTTTCAAAAGCATGTATATTTTCATGGACGTGGTTTAGTGCACTGTAAATGAACAGACTAGGAAGTGTCATGATTTTTTAGCCTTTTGAAGATAGGGCGACAATGTGCCAGAGTCTTGACCCGTGAATTGTGCGTATAGCTTTCTATATGAAGCAATATGAATAATAAAAAAATTAATTAAATTAAATAAAAAATTTAAAAAGGAAAGAGAAAGGAGAATATCGTCAATATATGTCCACAAAATAGTAAGGAAAGCACTGAGAATCAGTTTAAAGACTGTGCATGAAAAAAACATAATATAAATAGAAGTAGACTGGAAAGTGTATAGGAACAAAGCTTAAGACAAAGATTTAAAGGACAATCTGAAAATGGAAGTTCGGAATGTGGTTTATAATTTATATAGATCAAAAACCAATTCAACTCTCTCAGTTTTGGAAGAATCTTAAAAAAGACTTAGTGCTTTGGATATTATTAGAGTTGAATAATTATCAAATTTAATAAAAGCGCTGTCCAAAAAAAATTAGTGAAAATTAGATATCAAAATTTAGAAAAGTGGTATTTTTAGAGGATGGAAGTGGTTCAAAATCTTGGCCAGAATCGACATCAAAAAGTTGGGACTTTCATGATAATATGAACTCCGATATTTAAGACCCAACACACGCCACTGTTGTCCTTCCTTAAGAAATAAAACGTCAAAGCCAGATATACCACTTGTCCAAAAATCTCTCAATATCTAATACTGATACCTTAATACCTTAAAGTTGTTTACAATGGCATAAAACTAGCCCGTGTTACTGAACACCATACATCTGCTTTTGTCTCTAACAATTTCCACATTAGAGATATTTAGCGTTCCATCAGAAAATACACTCTCAATTCTCAAAATTCTCCTACAGATCATTAATAACAAACGTAGATCATTTCTACTACCCCAGATTGCAGAAGAACAAACCGGCTTTGTGCCGGGTAAGGGTACGAGAGAACAAATAGGAAACGTACGACAACTAATTGAGAAAGCTAGTGAATTTAACATAACAATGTACCTCTGTTTTGTCGATTACTCCAAGGCCTTCGACTTGGTAAAATGGCCAAAATTGTGGCAAATACTCAAAGAAATGGGGGTCCCTGACCACTTCATAATACTTATCCGACAGCTCTATGAACATAATTACGGTCTGGTAAGAATCAACGGTGTCATATCAAACAGGTTTCAAGCGATGAAGGGTGTCAGACAGGGAAGTGTTCTCTCGCCCTTACTGTTCAAAATATACACCGAATACATAATGCGGGACATTCTGGAAAACTGGCAGGGTGGCATTTCTGTAGGGGGGAGAAAAGTCAATAATCTGAGATATACCGACGACACACTAATCATAACATCTAGTGTAGAAGAAATTGAATTTATTATGCAGCGTCTCCAGGAAACTAGTGCAAAATTTTGATTGAAATTAAATCCCACCAAAACTAATGTTCTGATTGTAGACCGACAAAACCAGAACCAACCCCACGTAAAAAACATAGATGGGTTCAATGTGGTGAATAAGTACCTGTACTTGGGATCCTTAATTAACAATAGCGGTGCATGTGAAGGTGAAATAAAGCGAAGAATTGCACTAGCTCGAACACCCGCAACTAAGTTAAGTAAGATCTGGAGAGATACAGTCATCACTAAAAACACCAAACTAAGATTGTTGAGTTCACTTGTGTTCCCGATTGCAACTTATGGAGTTGAAACCTGGACGATCAAGAAGAGCGATGCAAGGCGGATAGATGCCTTTGAAATATGGGCGTACAGACGGCTGTTATGGATACCCTGGACGGCCCACCGTACAAATGAGTCCGTTCCTCAAGAACTAATTACTGAACTAAATCTGTCAAAAACGATAAATCGAAGCTTTCTAACATTCATTGGCCATATTGCAAGAAGAACGGACTCGCTGCAACTACTAATAGTCGAAGGAAAGGTAGAAGGAAGACGGCCGCGCGGAAGGTCACCCAAAAGATGGATAGATCAAACCAAGGATCTTGTCGGCCATGGCCTTCATGAAACCATAATCATGGCTCAGAATATAAAGGAATGGCACAATACTTAGGGAAATGGACTAAAGAGAGAGAGATAACCTTCCGAAGACAATGCAACCCCACACTTGCCACTGTTGTCCTTCCTTATATTCAAAACATCACCGACCACATATATAAAATTTTTAAGAAATATAACGTCAAAACCGAAGACAAAATTCAATTTGAGATACCAGGAGTTTACAGCATTCTATGCATATACGGCGAAGAATTCATTTAAGAGACGGGACGAAAAATATGAACTAGGCTCAAAGAACATGATAGAGCCTTAAGACTACAAATAAACACATCAGCAGTTGCCGAACACAATAACAAAACCGGATATCAAATTTTATTCGATAAAACTAAAATTCTTGCATGTAATTAATTCTTCTACAAATGAAAACTCGGAGAATCTATAGAAATCTTACTTTTCACTAATATGTGAATCAGCCATCCGAGACGATGTTCATGCTCCTCATTTAGTTCCTCCTCCCTCAAACAATATGTAAGCATGAACAAAATAGAATGTGAATGTGTAAGAGTTTCAGTTAAGCTATGAAGAAGCCAACAGGATGATTGCCGAAACGTCAGCAAGTGCAATTCAACGAAAAGCGACGCAGGAGGAATCCAGAAGTTTTGTAAATAGTAGTATTTTCCTTGTGTTCAGGTATATTTGTGATTGTGATATTTGTTACTGCACAACATTTTGGGAATCTCTGAGTTTTCTGACTTGATTCGTACATATTACTTTAAGGTCTTGGAAAACGATTAGTTTTTTATTTTCGTATTCTGTTAGAAATGTCAAAATAAAATTTAACACAAAATTAACCGGAGATAACCTTGAATATAGAGAGGGCATTAGTATGCTGGTATTTTTAACAATCACAAATGATAGGCCAGACCGTTCTTACTAAAAAGTACAGAACTTAAGTCTATAGCGAGTATGAAACATCTTCAACATCTTAGACAAGATTTGGTTTTGTACTTAATTAAATAAACCTAATTATAATATAGTTGTATGTGGGTAGTAATAGCTTTTTTCTACTCCCGTCTGTAAAATACCTTATTACACACCGATTTAGCGTGCGGTAACCGTCACTTTACCATGTCAGTTTCGTTTCCCACGGATCCGAGCCACTCCCACGGACATTTCCGGGATTTTACCGCACGGTTCGGGAGCAATCGGATGTTGTCGGAGACATTTCCTACCCCCTGAATTTTGACGTTTGTCAGTTCTGGCGATCATGTCGTTGAATGTATTCGTGTTTTTTGCGAAAATGTACCCAAAAACTAACGGTCGTAGAAAAAGTATAGTATGCAACACGTTCCGTAAACTTTTTAAGTCACTCGTTTATCAAACACTCGCTCCGCTCGTGTCAAATAAACTCATGACTCAAATTCCGTTTACCGTACTTGTAGCATAATATACTATTGTCATTAACTTTAACGAACAAATTATAAGTAAAATAAATAAATAAAATAACGTTTATGAAAGTTCTTAATATGAAGTGCGGCCTATTTAGTGGCATAAAAATTATTCAATATAGCATCCATAAAAAAACTAAAAAATAAAGGTTATAAAATTGCCTTTTAAGTCCGTTTTTAGGTAATTCAAAAAAATCTCTATAGAACGTAAATGTGGTATCTACATGTTCGTATGTTTAACTTTGGATGGTACAACTAAGGTAGCTTTTTTATAGAGCAAAATCAATGGTGCAAATCTGGAAAGCGCTATCGTGCATTGTTTTCGAGCTATATGGACAGGTTCTATTTTCATGGATCTTAAATGTGGCATCCACTTTTGGAATTATCGAAAAATAAAAAACTTGATTGTTATTTATTTTATTTCCACGGCAGTTGATATAGTATTAAAAAAGCAAAATATCCAGCTGTGACCGGGAAATATTACCAACCGCTCTACGTCAACAAATCACTAGAATTACTATAAGTAAAAACTGCAACACTTGTCAATAACTTGCGTTTCATTATAGTATGGTAGTATGGTATTGTATTAGGGGTTAACATACCTTGAACTTGGATCGACTCCTTATAGTCGAAGCAATTAAGTTTCCGATATGTGACAAATCTGAGTTGAACGTACACCACAACCATTGCCAGCAGCACTCCGAATCCCATGTGAAGGCTGAATACCCCAAAATTGATACCCTAGATAGTATTTTAATATTTTTACCGATATTTTAAATTAAAGATTCAATACTTAACGGACTTAACCACTTCTTTATTTGACGCAATAACAACATTGGGAGGATCTCCTATTGGGGTTATAGCACCTCCGATGTTACCAAATATAACGGTGATGGTCAGTATTGGAACGGGATTTACTTTTATTATCTCGCACAATCTGAAAAAATCACCGTTTTCTAAGTTTCTAGCAATGAAACAAGAATACTGTTGAAGATACAGAAACTCTTAAAGAGTTGCCAAAAGAACATGCCAATCAGTGGTGTCCAGCAACAATAAATGAGGATAAAACTCACTACACTCAGATAATCGTAGATATCACACTTCCTCTTCGAATTTGCTTCGAGCTGGGAAGTTTAACTACAGAATTCTTATTCTGTAGAGAAATAGAAACAAAAGAAAAAAATATTATATGATTCTTGATAGGGACCACTATTAAATAGTGCGTGTTCATACCTATTTATTTGTTTATTTTTTAGTTGTATACCTTTTTGTATTTAGAAGTGCTAAAAATCTATTTATCTACCTCGGAGAATGGTTCTGATAAATTTTAATTTTTTAATTACTTTATTGTGTTATACTAAAATGCCTGTCAACACATATTATACATTGGAAAATGGAAAGATTATATTTTTTTCCTAAAGTTAATATAAGTATTGATGTTTTTCAGTGCGTTAGTGTCAAAAAAGTATAATTTTTCGTTTTTTAAATTGATAACGCCGTTATTTAATAAATAAAAAGTACAAAAATGCAAGAAAAAGTTATGAATGTATTTTTATATTATTTGTGATCTGTGACTTACTTGATTGTAGCAGGAGTTATAAGGAGAGCAGTAGTAACGTTATCCGTAACACACGACAATACCATCACAAGACCAGCCAGCATGTTGATCAATGGCCATAATTTACCACGAGTTTTCTGAAAATAAAAAGCATCCTCAAATATACTACATTTTACAACATTATTGTATAACATCTGTCGTTGCCAACAAATGCACTTGGAAGGTGCAGATGAACTGGGGTTTCAACCCAAAAATGACACTTTGACTGCTCTTAAATTAACTAGGGGTACAACTGGATATGCCACCAATACAAATTAATTGGTGGACATTTTCAACAAACACGACAAGCTCTAGTGGAAGTTAAAGGCAGACTGTCAAGGGGCAGCACAGCACCCAAGAAATGCATGGTTAAAGATAATAATACTTAAAACTGCAAAAATGATTCACAAAAAAAGGCAGGAATAGAAGGCTTAAAAACTCAAGAATAACATGGTAGTGTATTGCTGGGGTGATTTCATGCTAAAAACGTCTAATGCACATATACTCGCAATTTTTACTGAGCTACAAGCATTTGAAATTTTAAAGACTATTTAAAAATAAACCCCTCTATTTTATTATTATATAGTTTCTGCGGCATCCATAACTCTGACTACCGGTTATTCTCTATTTTCAATACTTTCCTCATAAACTATGACGTGGGACACCCTATATAGTGGTGGAAAAAAGTATGTAAATTATTATTACTAATTTATTCACGTTTTTTTAGTTTCCAAACATTAAGAGACGTCACCTTTTTATCATGTTTAATAAGTAAGGAAACGTTTTATAATTTGTGTTCTAAATTATTCTTTCTTGTTTTTACAGTGCAAACATCTTCTAGAAATATTTATTTATACGCCCAGTCGCCGTTACTTTTCGTCAACAAAAATTTGTAGATTGATTTACAATGCGAAAAAAGTCGGTAATTGCAAAGCTTTTAAATATTTATGAAAGTGCTGTAACGAAAATATATATAAAAAAATAAAAGTCCGAACGACGCCGTAAAATTACTTGCAGGATAAATTAATTGATCAAAGCAAGTTTATGAGGAAGAGTTGCTGTTATCAAATGACTTCTCTAGAAGAATAATAGAAAGGCAAGAAGTATATTAAGGGAAAAGTACCAAAATGGAGGAGGAAACCTAATAATCCGGGATGTTTTTCTCGATCTGAGAGAGGGCAAATCATTCAAGAGATATCGAAATGTACAAAGGATCCATTGTTATGTAAGTTAGTGAAAGAATGGCTTGGAGAGAAAAACGTACTTGAATAGCCATCCCAACTGCCAGATCTGAACTCCATTGAACATTTTTGGTATCGAATATATATATATATATATATATATATATATATATATATATATATATATATATATATATTGTTTTTTTAATAATTGCTAGAAATTATTAGAAAGCCTAAAGCCAAAGTTTTGCCCAGGGATCATTGGCGTGCGTAATAATATATATATATATATATATATATATATATATATATATATATATATATATATATATATATATATATATATATATATATATATATATATATATATATATATATATATATATATATATATATATATATATATATATATATATATATATATATATATATATATATATATATATATATATATATATATATATATATATATATATATATATATATATATATATATATATATATATATATATATATATATATATATATATATATATATATATATATATATATATATATATATATATATATATATATATATATATATATATATATATATATATATATATATATATATATTCCACTATATTCCGGGATATCATCCGTTCGCTCGTTGAACTCCGACTGGAATCCTGCATCCGACTGGAATCCTGCAGACGTTTCGCCAAAATCTCACTTGGCATCTTCAATGCTCGCGCTCCGAAAACACTTCGAACACCCGGAGCGCGAGCATTGAAGATGCCAAGTGAGATTTTGGCGAAACGTCTGCAGGATTCCAGTCGGATGCAAGATTTGCAGGATTCCAGTCGGATGCAGGATTCCAGTCGGAGTTCAACGAGCGAACGGATGATATCCCGGAATATAGTGTCATCACATTTTTCCATCCGTGAATCAATACGTGAGAATATATATATATATATATATATATATATATATATATATATATATATATATATATATATATATATATATATATATATATATATATATATATATATATATATATATATATATATATATATATATATATATATATGATGACACTATATTCCGGGATATCATCCGTTCGCTCGTTGAACTCCGACTGGAATCCTGCATCCGACTGGAATCCTGCAAATCCTGCATCCGACTGGAATCCTGCAGACGTTTCGCCAAAATCTCACTTGGCATCTTCAATGCTCGCGCTCCGAAAACACTTCGAAGTTCGAAGTGTTTTCGGAGCGCGAGCATTGAAGATGCCAAGTGAGATTTTGGCGAAACGTCTGCAGGATTCCAGTCGGATGCAGGATTTGCAGGATTCCAGTCGGATGCAGGATTCCAGTCGGAGTTCAACGAGCGAACGGATGATATCCCGGAATATAGTGTCATCATATTTTTCCATCCGTGAATCAATACGTGAGAATATATATATATATATATATATATATATATATATATATATATATATATATATATATATATATATATATATATATATATATATATATATATATATATATATATATATATATATATATATATATATATATATATATATATATATATATATATATATATATATATATATATATATATATATATATATATAAATATATATATAATTTTTTCCAAGTTTCGATCGTTTACTTAACTCAATCGTTGCTCATTTTAGACAAGAAAATGTTACCTTGTAAGCCCAAAAAGCAACGTAGTCAAATATCCCTGTCTCGCTAAAAATTGTTACCAAAATCATCATGGAAAAAAGAAGTATTAGCGTTTCTACATCCATCCAAGATACTATTTCGTGGAGAGTCGGCCTGGCATTAAAAACGGCCAAAATAGCTACAGAAATGGTACTGGCCAACATGGCCGCCAGTGTTCTATGGATTATCTAAAACAAAATCATAGGTAAGGGCATGCAATGTCAAAAATGTAAAAATAGAAAAGGCAAATTTTCGTAGTGAACTGTCAAAAATATTCTTGTTAATTCACAATTGTCAATTTGCTTTCCATATATAGGCAATTTCAGAAAAATGTGGAGTTTACAACCGGAAATTACGATACCAATCTTTGGTGCCGTTTCTGACCACTTACCTTAACGAATGTCACAAATTCAGGCAGTTTGCATGTTTACTTTTTTTTGTGAGACAGAAGCGGTAGACGTGTTTTGTGCGCTCAGCGATTTTCTGCTGTCAAAAAAAAGAAACAAAGAATTTGCATAAAATTTTGTGTAAAAAATGGAATACAGTGCTGCAAAACGCTTGAAATGTTGCCAACAGCATATCGTAATCTCTCTGAGCAAAAAAAATCTTTATAAGAGGTACAAGCTGTTTCAAGATGGCCGAGAAGACTCCGATGACGAACTTCGCTCTGGAGGCACCAGCAAGTCAATAACTGATGAAAGCGTTAAAGAAGTGAAACGAATGGTGTTGAAAAATCGTCGAATCACTATTAGAGAAGTATCTGAATACGTCGGCAACTCTATTGACTCGTACCATGCTATTTTTTCAGAAGTTTTAGGCATGAAACGTCTAGCAGCAAAATTAGTTCCGAAACTGCTTAATTTTGAACAAAAGGACCGTCCAAGGAGTATCTCTCAAGACCTGTTAAACGAAGTCAATGATGATCCTTATATGCTCATAAAGGTAATAACTGGTGACAAATCATGGGTAGAAAACCCAGTCGTCCCAATGGAAGAACCCTGAACCGCCAAAACCGAAAAAAGCACAAGTTCGATCAAATGTTAAGGTTTTCCTGTTTTCTTTGATTATCATGTCGCAGTAAATCAGAGTCGTAGTGTCAATAAAGAGTTTTACCTTGAAGTTATGCGCGGCTTGCGAAAAGCACGAAGAAAACATTTGGGAAAATAATTCATTTATTTTGCATCACTATAATGCACATGCTCATTCATGGTTGCTTGTGTCTAACTTTTTGGCCAAAAAGAAAACCACAATCATTCCTTTTTTTTGTTCCCAAATCTGAAGATCGCTGGAAGAACTGAAAGCTATGCCAGAAAGTGTTTACCAGAATTGTGTTCATGGATTGGAAAAAACGTTGGCACAAGTGTATTATATCTGGGGAGGATTACTTTGAAGCGTACAACAAATTGATGAATAGACAAATACTTTTTTTATAAAACTTAACAGTCACCTTACTTTTTGAACACACCTCGTATAGTACCAAAAATGTGGAAAAATAACCATTTTATTATGTTAAACAGAACTCCATAGGCCTTAGAAAACCTTAAAGAAATTTACCACTTTTTTAAATGCGAAATATGATAAGATTATAAAAATAGGGTGATTCCATTTGAAAGAAATTGCTTTTCAGGATTATTTCCGTCAAATTTTTAATGTTAGTTTTTGGCCTTGTATTTATTTATTATTGAAATACCAACACATACTGGTAAAGCAGACTCTCTTCACGGCCACAAATATATAAAAAAATCTTTAAGCCAGAAATATCGATAGATTTGTTTAAACTTACAGACGTCACTTTTGATATAAAATTCAAAATATGTCAGAAAAGAAAAAAGTTCCGGGCGTTCTATTTAAAACAAGAAAGTTGTTACTTCTTCGGGACAATACACGCACCCTGTATATAAAGCAATATAATATTTTGAAAGTAAGTAAAAGTATCCAAGTATTTTTGAGATTTCTTACAGATAATTCTTGATTTTTATACTGTTAAAATAAAATTCTTTCCTTTTCGAGATTTTGAAAAGTTTGTAAGGTTAGAACAGATTTTTATGATTTTTTTGCTGCAACATCTAGTTGAAGTTTGCTTAATGTTACTATGTTACTTTTTTATAATGTCAAATTCAATATTTAATATCATATCATGTAACAGATATTTCATATTTCATGGATCGAATTGACCAAAACTTTTATATAATAACTTTAACATTTTTTTGTATAAAATAAAAAGAGTGGCGAATTTAACAAATAACAAAATGATAAAGTTGGTTTGCGAATTAAAACCATTTTTTTTTACGAAAGATACTAATGCTTTATCTCTTTATCTGAACATTGCTTTTATAACATAAAAATTGTCTGACTGAAAATAACATTGGGGCATGGATGGGAGCACACAGACACACAAAACTAACCTCTGTGATGATCAGCACATAAAGACCAATTAATAACAGTGCTGCATAAATGATCCCGATATCCGGAGCAATTGGTTGAAGATTGTAGCCCATTAGCAACGGCAGATTTTGTTTGAGATTAGATCGAAATTGTAGTCGCAAAAATTTAAATGACTGGGTGTCCGTATCGTTAGTTGAGTTCAAATGAAAGGTGGTCTTGTATTTCACCTCCGGTACTACGCCTATCAAATTTTCAGTAACCAAGGGAACTTTCCACATCTCAGAAATATTCTACAAAAAAAAGGTTTTAAAATTAATTGCGCTGCAATTCTGTCAAGTTATGAGTAGCCAACATTAATTTTTGCACTCACTAACTCTATAGGAAGTATCTAACACTTAATCCAATAAATAAATCGATAACTAACTAAAGAACTACTCTGATATAGTAAAATAAAAGATTTCCATTGCACTTTTCTGTTAGTGATAAATCTTCACCATTTTGGTTTTATCTCATTCCAAATTTAAATCTGAAATCCAACATTATTACCACACATATGCAATATGTAACAACGCAGAAAAAGTAAAAAAAGCAAAGAAGAAATATTCTATGACTTGTCACACACATTCAGTTTCAAAAAAAGTGTTTTCTAATATACTGGGAGTTTTTTAATTGAATGTCCTAAACGTCTTAACTTTTGAGATACAGGGCGGTAAAGTTTTCAAAAATAAAATATATTTTTTAATATCTGTAATACTACTTTAGACATTTTAATGAAATTTGGCACACATGTACTATTTATCAAGGGCACCACAATTTTTTTCAAATACACCAGTGATTTCTCTTAAATTAAAAAATATGTTTACAATCTCCAATCATTTCTGTTTCTGTTTCATTAAAAAAAGTACGAATATGAAGTATATAAACTCTGAGGTGTGTTTTTGAAATTTTTACGGTTATTTCTTATCATTGTAGTAGGCTGTGTCTGTAAGAATTATTAATTCTGTTGTCAAGACTGTTGTTTGACAGTTGTTTAACATCAGTTTTTAAATTCAGTGCTTAGCGTTTTATTAATTTGGTATTTAAAATATCCGCGCATTGTTATTTTAAAAAAGAATGGTCGAGTTTACAAATGAGGAGTTGCCAGATCCGCTTTTTATGTTTTTACGATTTTATCAAGAGCGCTTTCCCAATTGACTCTTACCAGATAGGCGAACATTTTTAAATGTACATAGAAGGTTGACTGAAACATGAACTTTCAGGGCAAATAATCATTTAAATGGCTCCCATCGGACTGTTAGAACTTCAGAAATGGAAGAAGCAGTTTTAAATTCTATTGATGACAATCCTGAACTTAATACTAGAAAAATTGGAAATAATCTGAATACCCTTAACATATTCAACGAGTGCACGCGTTCCCCTGCGTGTTAATTTTTGTCAATACCCTTTGGAGAAAATTATGAATTATTCCTTGTTTGACCAAGAAGTACTATTTACAAGCCAGCTTTTCCAGAATGCAATAATAAATTTCCGTATTTGGGCCGATGAAAACCCTCATGCAGTTCTAGGATTTAAACATTAAGTTAAATTAAATTTTTGGGCTGAATTGTCGGAAATTACTAAATTGGACAGTTTTTCCTACCAGAAAAGCTAAATAGCCATAATTATCGCCGATTTTTAGAAGAGGATTTGCCAATATTACCAGAAGAGGTACCATATTGAATTAGGAACGGAATGTGGTTCATGCATGACAGTGACTTTATTGAACAAATAACAACCATTAAATTAGGTCTAAATGATATTTTGATTAGTTCCGTTTTTACCAAAGTCCATATTCCTGAAACTGTCAACATTATTTAAGATATATTAAAATTCGAGGACCTGGATTCACATCTTTCTAATTAAAAAATACTCGCAATGGTCAAATTTATAAACATATATCAGGAACAGCTATGGATTCTTCATTCTTCATTGTCGCTAATGTATTTATGGAGCTTTTGAGAAGAAAGCTTAGACATTTTTCATTTAAAACCAAAAGTATGGAAACGCTACGTTGATGATACTTTTGTAATCTGCATTCCTGGTCTAGAATGCCTCCGAGATCTTCTTAACCACTTAGGTTCTATACACCCCAACAGATATTTTACCATTGAATAAGAAACTAATAATAATCTTCCATTCACAGATATTCTTATTAATAGAAAATCAGACATAACGTTGGGCCATTCAAACCTAGACAAACACTTATCTTACCTTACCTTAATGCATTGTCACATCATCATCCAGTCCAAAAATCACTGGTTATCAACTATCTTTCATGACAAAATAAGTGCGAAATCAACCCTACACTTGCCACTGTGACCCTTATTTAGATCAAAAACATGTCAAAAGTTCTTAAGAAATATAACGTCAAAAACAGATTTACTACTTGTCCAAAAATCTCTCAACATCTTCGACCCGTCAAAGACAAAATTCCGTTTGAGATACCATTTTATGCATATGTGGCAAAAAATGCATTGAAAAGACCGGACGAAAAATATCAACTAAGCTAAAAGAACATGAAAGTGCATTGAGACTTCTTTTTTGCCCACTCTTATCTCTCGTCACGGTTACGGTATACGAGCAAAACGCTGAAAAGGGTCGTGAGGTTATCGTTTTCTTCTAAAAAAAAATATTTTGATATGCTAATAGGGCGTTGTTTGAAAATGGACATTTAAAAAAAAATCGCAGCACCTTTAATAGAAAATTTTGTGTTTCTATAAAAGCATTTCAATGTAATGTTTTTTTAAACTAATAAATAGTTAATTAGTTTTCAACCTTAAAAATGACTTTTTATGTTTGCCATCCTGTATATTTTTAAATCATTAAAAAATTCTAAAAGTATTGAAATTACCTTTCCAATATTTGATTGATGTTTTGCTAGAGAGTTTTGAACTGGAAACAACTGCGTACTGGTAGTTTTGGATAAATGCAAAATTATAGTTTTTTTTATGACGTCCGAAAATAATGCAGTAAGCAAGCAATGGAGGTGTGTTACAATCAATATCCTGAAAAAAATCAAGGCAAGATTGTGACAAAACTAAATTAATAGCAACCAGTTTGAGAAGAGTCCAAAAAGGTACATGTGAACTTCCCATGAGTTACGAGAAATAGTGGTTTTCGAAGCTGTTAACTTGAAAAGTAAAGACACCAACCAGACTAACAAGAACTAACGTTAGATATACTTAAACAAAACGCATTCATTTTACACAAAAAAGTGCAATTCAAGTGTTTCCTAGAAAAATTTAACATAGTAAGACATTCCCGTTGATTTTTTGGACTTATTTGAAAGGTTAAATTAAATAGAGCGTCTTTACAACTGAAACCACAATTTGATCACGCATTTGTCTACTCGAGGAAAATATCACGCATGGTATCTTTCTGGTTAGTTTTAGTTGTAATTTTCAGTTCTTTTCAATAATCAAAAAATATACATAAAAAAAGCTAATTTTCAGTTGATAACTAAAATTATATAAGTATTGTAAACATGATGTTGAAACCATTAAAGTCTTTAAAAAGTTACGATTTCTTTTAAATGCACAAAAAACGCCGTATAACGCTGAAGCAGAAATAGATATCTATATGCGGCTTTTATCATAATATTTTTTTATGAAAATCGAGCTTCAGACAGAAGGGAGTTTTCCTTTAAAAGTACCCAAGGCAACGAAATACGTACACCCGGTAGAGCGGGATCAATTTAGATGCATATTTGGGTTTTCTAAAAGAGACTTGAAGTGTATGCGAAAGTCGCATATGCTGGTTAAGAATCATTATATCTAACAGAAATGGTAGGTTCTATTTGTATAGATAAAAAAAACGTATTTTGTTTATTCTATGACGGAAACTAAACAACACATTTAGTTCATGGTTCATGTTATTGGCTACACCCAGGGACACATTAAAACGAGTTACATATTCCGATCTTTTACTTTTAGAACTGATTTGAATCATCTTAATCAAATTAAAATAACTTAAGTTTTAGTGTAAGCTTGCGTTTATTTTATTTTGCCATACCCTCATTGATATCACATCGGTGGATTGAATGTCAGAAGTGCTTTTGGGCATTTTATTGACGACAAGCAACTGAACCCAAACACTTAGCCAATTGTAAGACAGGTTACCATAGTAGGGTGGCAGCAGGGCTCCTTCAAGCATTACATTTAGCTTCGAAGTGTTTGTTTTTTTGAAAATAATATAACCTACAACAAAATACAAAAATAAAACGGTTATTTATTGAAATTTTTAAGTAATTTCTATCAAATTGCAATACGCAAATATATGAAATACTCCTTTGCCTTTGCTAAGCAGAGCTTCGAAAAATATAATATATAAATAAATTAATAGTGTTTTTATTATATATAATTACAATTTAATTATTTCATAATATATAGCTTAGAAAAGGCATAAAAACGAATCTTATAAAATTTGATATCTATTAGATATCTCAATTTTAACAGTTTTGTATGTTTATAAGAAAAAATACTTTTCTATAGGAACACCGAGGAATTCTAGGGGAATTCCAAGGAATTAAAAAATTGCCATGTGCACTTCTGCCTCTGAGGCATTTTTCTAATATTATAGATTACAAATATATCGTTTACTTTTTTCGCAATATTTAGCTGTTTTTATGGCACGAACAGAATTTCCCTGGTCCTTATTGTTCTTATTGTATTATTTGTAAATAACTTTGAAAAACTTATACAGAGTAAGGTCAAAAAAATATCGACAGTATTTTTTTTTTAACAGAACATATATATTATTTTTTATTTTCATAGAGGACGATGTGTGCATTTCATTAATAAATATTGAAAAAAATAATGCAAATATTAAAAATTTGGCGTCCTGCTCAGCCCTTTGATTAAACGAAATTGAGATTGGGAATAATGTGAACTATTCAACAAATTTATACATTTATATATGTTTAAAAAAATGCAAAAAACTTAGTGGGGGTGACTCCTTGCTTAAAATAAAGGGTAAAGGCAAACCGTTAGGGAGATATCCTAGAAATATGGAGGAAAAAATTATGTTTTTATTTTTTATCTTAAATACGAAAATAACTAATAACTATTATAAAACACATTTTCTGCATATCTTATACCTATACAGGCTGACCTAAATTAAGTGTTAATCATTGGTAACTTTGTTATCAGTAGAGAAACAAACTCGGTTAAATTAGCAAATTAGTAGCGTATTTTCAATTGATCCCGACGGCGAAAACAGAAAAACAATTCAATATAGGGCTTAGGAAACAATGAGAAAATGTACTCTTTTAAATGGAACACCCTATATATATATATATATATATATATATATATATATATATATATATATATATATATATATATATATATATATATATATATATATATATATATATATAATTATCTTCTGAACACTAACATTTTACAAATAATTTCTTAATAAATATTTTTGAAACTAACTGAACTATTCATGCGTAAACTTATAATAAATACATTCTTTAAAAACATTTTATTTAAACAATATAACTTAAATGACAACAAAACAAATAAGTAAGACACATAAGGCAAAACAAAAATACAAATTGTCATGGCATTAGAAGACGCAATTCTTTTAGATATCCCTAGATACAAAAATATACATATGGTATACTATATGTATACTATACTAGAGTATACTATATGTATAGTATTGTAATCCCAAGGCGATCGATGGAGCCTACCCCGTGGAAGAGTACGTAATGTCACTTCTAGGTAACAGAGGTACATTTTCTACTAAAGGACTTGTCAGGTAATCTTAACGGTAGAAAATGAGGACCAATTAAATAATCATTTATAATTTCTAACCAGATTTTAACGGCAAACTGATATTGATGTCTACATTCTGTCATTGAATGCCGCTCACCTTCAGCCCATACATTCCTGTTGTGAAAGTTTTGAATTACATCCCTCGAGAAACTTTCTTAGTCCACTGTGGTCCTTCCTTACATTCAAAACATCACTGGCCACATATCAAAAGTTCTAAAGAAACGTCAAAACCAGATTTACCACTTGTCCAAAAATCTCTAAACATCTTCGGTCCCTCAAAGACAAAATTCCATTTAAGATGCCAGGAGTTTACAGCATTCCATGCATATGCGGCAAAGAATACGTTGGAGACCGAAAAATATCAACTAGGCTCAAAGAACACTAAAGGGCCTTACGACTAAGACAAATAAACTTGTCAGCTGTTGCCGAAAACAATCGCGAAACCGGACATAAAATTTAATTCGAGAAAACTAAAATTCTTGCCTGTAATTAATTCTTCTACCAACGAAAAATCCGAGAGTCTATAGAAATCTATTAACAACCTAACAATCTTTACCAATATGGGAATCAATCATCCGACACGGTGTTTATGCCTCTCATTTAGCTACGCCCCCTCAAAACAATATATAAGTAGGTACAGAGTAAAATGCGAGCCAGTTTCAGTCAAGCTCTGCAAAAACCGAAACAGGAGGAATCCAGAAATTTTGTAAAAAGAACAAACAAAATTTTATTTTAAACAAGAAATCACCCCCTAAACTTTTCGCATTTGTTTTGAATCACCCTGTATTTTGTACATAAATAATTATTTTAAAAACTCCTAATTGCGTATTTTTAAACTTGAATTCAGAAAAACCACCTAATTTGCAATAAAATTGTCGACAAAGAAGCAAATACAATTGAAATACCGAATACTTACTATTTATAGTATTGTTTTGTATGCTAATTTGATGCAAATCCTGAATCTTTTCGTTATTAATCATAAGAGCGGCGCTACACATAATCAACATGATGACCAGAACGCCAGTTTTGCAGTACTTTTGGACAATTTGCCATTCCGAAGTATCAGTATTTGATGGAGTAGTGGAATGAGCTGGCAAATTTCTAAAAGAAAAATTTTTTTTATTAAGCCTTTTGTTGCTATCATTTCTTATCTATATTGGGGAAACGAACGATCCCAGAAATTTGAAAAACCAAATTATTATGTAAATGGGATAAAATCTTGAATTTTAAAACTCAGTTTTATCAAAGATGTCTCTTAAAATCTTAAAACAGAGAAAAATTGAAATCCTTTTTTTTGGATTGGTTTTGGAATATCTCCATTTTAATAAACTTTGTCGTTAAAAATGGCACGATTATGACTGCGTACCTTAGAGTTTTGTGACAATCGTAAAAAAATACTAATTTTCTGAAAAAATAAAAACATAACCAAAAATATGACTAAAATATAAAAAAAGTTGGTTTGGTTGTTATTAATGCCTAAATATTTCGGATGTACCAAATAAAATGCTAATTTATTACTTAGGATGCCAAATAAACCTTAAAATAGAAATAAAATATAATAATAATTATAATAATAACAATAATAATACTTTATTGCCAACCAAATCATTATACAATAATGACACAAGCAATACAAAATTAGGTTTAAAATGTAGTTAAAATGGAACTTACATCTCAAAATTAAAATTATAGAAACATTTTCCAAGAAACCATTTATAAATTAAAATTTATTATTTATCTTTTTTACTTTTTTACAAAGCATTCGAAGGGCGCAAATTTCTCTGTAGCGAAAATTCCTACGTTTTGACTTGACTAATTGTTTTTACTCAACTATCGAAAATTAATCAATTGTCGAAGACAAAACAATTTTATTAATGTAAGTAACGTAACGTAACGTAATGTAAGTAATCAGTATTTTTCTTTGTTCCTAACCCGTCGATTTGAGTTTGAATATGATGCTTTTAATGCAATAAAGATTTAACAAATTTAGCCTAATTAAAAAAGTAGTGGATATCTTGATAAGTAAACATGAATTATTTTTCCCATATAGGATGTTTTATTAATTTTTTAAATGGCGTTTCACATTTTATTGCTTATATACGTCAATAGTACGTCAAGCTACGACGTAATTGTAAAAAAAGTATTAAACAAAAATAATAACGTGAAGGTTCTTCAAGGATCCATTTTGGGGCACTTACTTTTTCTACTATATGCCAATTGTCTGTAAAATATCAAAATTATCAGTAAACTTATTGTGAGTTTAAATAAATGGCATAGAATACGAAGTTTTATTTTTATGCGTTCATTTGAGTTCGAATGTTCTACCTGTTTGTCAATTCGAAAACATGATCCACATTTTAATCTACGGCCTCCCGATTTTTGTGTTTTTTGTGACTGCGTGTTATTGTTTTACAAATATTTACCTTGTAAAACTAAAAGCACCATAGGAAAGTAGTTAAAATACCATAAAACTATTTGTGAAAATTTGTTCTATTCTAAATGGTTCTAATTTAACCTCAATTCAATTTTTGAAATTTTGAAGAAAATAAAATCTAACCGAAATTAAAGTGCTTCATATTTTGCCAAGCAAATGTATATCCAATCTATCAGTAAAATTCCAAACGTTTTAGAAAATATTTTTAATACCTTAAAAGCTAAGGTCTCCAGGTTAGATTTATTCTAGCCGTGTGCAACAATCTTATAAGACTTTTATATAGGGTGTAGAAATGATAAGAAAAAACTATTTTTTTAATTATAATATTCAGTCTTTAGATATTTCATTTAAATTTTGTACTGTGCTTTGAAGCAGCCAAAGAGATTTTGTGAAGCGAAAAAAAAATCTTTTAACAGAAAACGGTGGGTCGTTCGGAAAAAAGAAAGAGATCAAATTTTATCAAGTTTTATTTTTTGTTTTTGGAGAAAGCAGTGAGCACCATTTGTAAAAATATGTAGGTATTTGTATATGCAAATCTGGTTTCGATGTCACTGGCAAATAAAAAACTTATATATTTTACATCAAAAATTGTCTGTTGATGTTTGAAGGCAGTGCACTAAACATATCTCAATATTTTATAACCAAACTATAAAAATGTTTGGTTGGTTGGAGATACTTACGCTGAACTAAAAAGTGAGTCACTCCCTGCGTTTGATGATGCTTCACTGACGCATATTCTGATATGGTTCGTGTTGTCGATATTTTTGAAAAGTCCGCGCCTGGAACCGAACTTGTTTCAACATAACATTCTAATACACCTTGCTACTTTTTGTACTCAAAAATTATATGTCAAAACAATCGCGGCAGTTGTTATAAAACTGACCTCGAATTTTCTCTTCCGTGCTTCAAGATTAAAAACTTTTATTGTGGATTGGAAACGTGGTCGTAAGAGTACAAGAATGCATTTTTATTAGAAACAAAATTATATTGCAAATTATCTTAAATCTTGAGTGCAAATTATGAAACCTAAATATGTTGAATTGATGAAAAAATTGTTACTGATTTATTCCTCATTTATCTGAAGAGGGTACTTACAGTTGATTTTCTTATATATGAAATTCTTCGGCTATTGAAGACAATAAAGTTAATTATTTGATCGTACGAAGACAAACGGTAAGGGGTTAATAGATCTAGAACTTAAAAAAAATGCATAAACTCCCAATTTTTGAAAAAAAAATATGTAGTACTAAAGTACTATAACATATTTCTAAATACTAATAATAGTATGTGAAGAGAAGCTGAGAGATAACAAGTACCTAAAACTAAAAGAAAATTGAATTGTTTTTAAGTATCAAAGTTGTAAGGTTGTTATTATGTATTTTTATTATTTTATTATTTAAATACTCCTAAGTAACCTATTAAATATCAGATATTTTAGTAAAAAAACTTTTGTAAAAATTAATTTGTTTAGCATCATAGATGATAGAAATCGATACTTACCTTAATTTTTCGTTAACTATATTTAAATTATTTATTTTTTTAATTATATTTATTTTAAATTGTAAATTAAGGAGATAAAATGGAGGACGATAATTAAAATTTTAAAGTACGTACCTTAAACTTAGTTCCTTCTCCATATTGAATTATATAACCAGTAAAAACTATTTTGAGTTTGCACGAGAAAACCGATTTGAAAAACATGCACCACACACAGTTACTAGCAACATGTGGAAAGCAACCGATGGACATTGAAACAAAAACACAAGTTTTTTTAAAGCTCCACTGAATCCGAAGAACAAAAAATTGTGTGATCGTTTATATGCCTAAAATACAGCGTGTGCCAAAAGTCACGTATCAAATTACAACAAGCTAACAATTGAGATCATTTCCGTGTAAAAAGCAACTAAAAAGGTGGTTCTCTTATCGCAAATTACATTGTTGCTTGTTATTGATCGATGAATGTAATTTTAGGACTTTAGGAGTTCATTCGCAAAGATTTCATTTTAGGTTGTCGGATTTTTTTTTCAATATGAATTTCTGTTTTCGACTGGATATTCCTAGCGTCCCAACATGACACATAAAATATGTCACAAGTAAGAGGTATTTCAAATACAAAGCATATCTTCAATTTGTTTTTTTTTTTTTTGAGTAGGCTATGGAAAAATAATTGACATTGACAAGCACTCACGACATTTTTGAGGCAACTATCCTTAATAATTTTTCAGCGTTCTAAAAACAGATTGCTAATTTGGGTCTTTTTTTGCATCTCATATTATTTTTATAGTATACGGTAGGTAATAATTCTATTTACGTTTTATGGTATTTTTGAGTCAATAAAGCAAACCAGTCCAGCATAGTAGTAAGGAAATTGAAACAAAATATATGAATCTGCTCTATCAATATCATTCAAGGATATAATAATATATATTTATTTTCCACTCTCCGGTACTAATTCACACTGAATTTTAATTACATCAATGGGCGGACATTTTTGGGATTATATTATTGCGTGTAATTTTGTCATTTCATTATTAGCCGATTTTTTTAATTGCTAGGTTAAATTTTCGGGAATATTACAGTCTTTAGTGTTTAAACAGTTTTTAAATATGTATTATTATACCGGGCGGCAACGAAACTAGTTTCCAGGGCATAAAAATATGACTGGTATGTTGTATATAGGTTAAATATTGTGAAAATTCGTAGTATAAAAAACAATTGAATTGCGTTTCCGGAAATAACTTGAATATTCTAATTTTAAATGGAACGCCCTGTTTATTTCGCTAAAGAATTCTAAACAAGTTTTTAAAATAAAGCCGTTCAAAAATATGCCACAATTCTAAGACTTTTTATTTAATGGAGAAACGAAGTAGACCAAAACAAAAAATATTACGGTTACTTACTCCTTATGTACAACGCAATTCAAATCCAGATTTCAAAATATTCAACCCTCTTAACTTACCAAATTGTATATTTTTATCTCAAGCCATTTTAAAATGCCGCTGTGGATAGTAGTTTCGCTGCTTGCCGGTATATAATATTCTTTATACTTATTGAAAACGGTGTAGATCACACTTAAGTTTTACAAAACCTGTAGAAGTCTTAAGAACTTAAGATTATCTTCGTATATGGTTGGAAAAATAAAAACAATCAATTATATGGTACAAGAAAATTGACGAAAGCGATGGCCTCAAGTGCGAACCCTGTGGCATCGGAGATTCAAGGCCACAAACTAAATACAAAATAAATATAGATCATTCCTGAATGCCACAAAAGAGCAAAAAATTAACTGCGGTTTAATGAGCACTCACTCTTTTCAATTAACTCCAGTGTAAATTATTCTGTTTAAGATGCCAAACGCTTTAAATATGAATGAAAGTCAAAGAAACGACGGAAATTCGTTTTTAGTAGAGACTACTGTGCAACTATTACAATTAATTTATTATTATTATTATTAATTAAATATTAACAAATCGTGCACAATTTAACGTGTTTTATCAAATTTAAAACATTCGCAGCAACATTTAGGGCACTTCATCATGCGTCAGCTGCCATTTTGGCTTCGATTCGGCTATTTGATATTTATTACTTACCTGAACTGATAACGTACAAAAACTAACTACGTATAAAAATTGACATTTGGTCCCATCGAACCAGATCATTTTTCTATGAAATTTATAATTTTGTGTAATTAGTTATATGCCCCGGGCTGCAGACGAAGCCCAAACCTAAGCGAAGATAACGCCTCGCTGATATCAAAAGCCCTATTCATTCGATTGTCGGATTGTAAAATACGCTCTTAATTATCCCAGCCTTTGTATCGGCTAGTCCGAATAAAACTTTATTTTAGTTTCTGTATAAATAAATGTTTTTAAAAACGCTCTCCCGAGTTGTGAACATTTAAATGGCGCAGTCGGAACGGATTTTGTAAGTGCAGTAGTGGTGGACAATTAAACAGCATTTTCTGGGAGTTTCTGTGAAATCGCCAATCGTGGAAAGTTCGAAACTTTTCGACATTCGTTACGTGGATTTTCAAATCCTTCTTCAGATTCTTTAGAGGGAGCCATTGCTTATGTTTCTGAATTTGAAAATTTCGAAAACCTCTACGAGAATCTAAGCAACACAACAAAACAATTCCAAATGTCCAATTTTCAACAAAAAAACTCAAAACAATTTCAAATACCAAATTTTCAACAATTCAACACGAAACAACATTTTCAACCATTTCAGCATGGAATAAATCCCAACACAAATTTATTGCCAAACAATTTTAACAAATTTTTAAATCCAAACCAATATCAAAATCAATTCCCAATACCACAATTTATATCTCAACCAGTAAATATTCAACCGAGGCAAATACCTCAAAGACGATTTCCCACAAATCGAGAAGTGTTCGGACCTCCACGAAATGTCTTCAAATCCAATCAAATATCACCCAACCAACTTCCTTAACCGACACCAATGTCAGGTATCTCAAGACAAACAAACAATTCATTTACAAGATGACCGGTAAGATAAAATAACTTCACTAACAACAATCAACCCCCAAATTTTATCGCGGAAGAATTGTTTAACCAAGAATGCGATGAAAACACAATACACGAACTAACCCAAACAAACAACCAACCCTATACTATTCGACAATTGAAAAGGAACTCTTAGCAATTGTTTGGAGCTGTAAATATTACAGACCTTATTTATTCGTACAAAAATTTCTTATTTACACGGATCATAAACCCCTACAGTGGCTAATGTCATTAAAAGAGACAAATTCACGACTCGTTACATGCAGACTTAAACTTGAGGAGTATAAGTACGAAATTAAATACAAACTAGATATGAATGCTATTGAAATTGACTCGATATTTAACAATTTGGGAGACGCAGATGAAATTATAGGCGACTTTTTATTACACGATAACGATGAATTGCCAAATCTAGACGACTTAACGTTAGATGAAATTTTGTTTAAACCGGAAGAACAAAAAATTAAAATTTTATCGGACATTCAAATTAAACCCCCATTTAACCAACGGGAGAACCAAAAAGATTTAAAAAAAAAAGAGACAGTACATTCCTCAGCGGAAAACCCAATTTTCGAAATTCCAATTTCGGCAAAACCATTAAATTATTTTAAAAATCAAATAATATTAACAACAGGAGATGTAGGAAAATTCTTAATAAAGAAAGAAAACGTATTTAATAATAATCGATTTTGTATCACAATCCCGAAAAATGACCCCATGCCAAATATTATACGAATCACTAAGAAATACTTTAAACCAAAACCTACTTCTGCAATTTACTTTCAAGCAGAAAATTTAATTAGAATTCAGCATTTAAAATAATTCATTGCAACATAGTACTCGAAGACATCGAAACCCAAGATGAGCAACAAGAAAAACTCATTCTATACCATACAATAAAAACGTGTCATCGTGGAATAAATGAAATTGAGAATTCCCTTTGTAAAAAATATTATTGGTCAAACATGTGTGACGAAATAGAAAATTATGTTAACAATTGTGACATATGCCAAAAGAATAAGTATGATCCAAAACCACCAGCGATAAAATTAAAATTAACTTAACCCCAACAGCATGAAAACCATTCGAACATATTCATGTTGATACCTTTAGGATAAACCATGAAGGCCAAGTTACAATAATTGACGCATTTTCGCGCTATGGACAAGTATAAGCACATTAAAAGCATAACAGGAACCAAGGTAGTAGTAGTAGTATTGAAAATAACATCAGATCAGAAGCCTCAAAAACTGCTAATCAAATGTAACACGGATCGATATATGCAAATCGAAGTACCAGTAGTGATTAAGATACCAGTGAATTGTCAAATAGAAATAAATGGAGAAAAATTCTTCAACGATGTAAAAATCCAGTTCGGAAACCAATATTTTTACCAAAAATCCAGTTAACGGAAATGAACGCAATAAAAGTCCTGGATACCGCCAATCTTTCAAAAATAAATATTGACGAAATATACCAGCTAAGAGACTTAGCGGAAAAAACAACTCCCACGGAACCAGTGAAAGAAATAATTGTTATTCTTTTCGAATAATCAAGGTTGTAATTTTAGTTTTCATCGTTAAGAAGCTCTTGTTGGAAAAGGGACGAAAATCGAAGAAAACCGCATCCAAACCAGAGGAAACCTGCCAAGAAGAAAATTTTGAAACTTTTTCGAAAAGTCGATCCGTTATTTTATTTTATTAATTAATTGAATTTAGTCATTTTTTTTACAAAACTTCTGGATTCCTACTGCGTCGGTTTTTGCTGAGTCGAACTTGCTGACGTTTCGCCAACCATCATGTTGGCGTCATGTTCTTCAGAGCTTGACTGAAACTGACTAGTATTACTCTGTCCCTGCTTATATATTGTTTGACGGGGCGGAGCTAAATGAGGGGCGCAAACCGATGTCTGATTCCCAAATTGGTGACAGGTAGAGACCTGAGTCGCGATCAAGATTGTTAGGCTGTTTATAGATTTCTATAGACTCTCGGATTTTTCGTTGGTAGAAGAACTGATTACATGCAAGAATTTTAGTTTTATCAAATAAAATTTTATGCCCGGTTTCATGAGTGTGTTCGGCAACAGCTGATGAGTTTATCTGTCTTAGTCGTAAGGCTCTTTCGTATTATTCGAGTCTAGTTGATTTATTTCGTCCGGTCTCTCCAATGTATTCTTTGCCGCATATGCATGGAATGCTG